TCAGTATGTGCTAGCCATTCATTCCTAACACACATTAAGTTATTTCAGATTTATATTTGAGTAACAACTGAAACTCCACCCACTCCCACTTTAAACTAGCCATGCCAACTAAAAATACTGGAGAACAACACATTGATTCCATATTCTCATTTCTGTCCTATTATCTAGCTTTTACCTGGTCTACCAGGATTTAAAGATTATTGTTCTTTTCCCCCCAGCTGATTATCTTCTAATACTGAAAAAGAAGTTTATGTCGGGAATACTCTTAATATTCTTTCCACTCACTTATCATACAATTATAGTAAATATTAACAAAATCATTTATATTAAGTTTTCTTCATTTTTGAATTCCAATTAAGAGATGAAGGCATTTTTACTCTGCAGTATATATTATTCATCCATATTCTACACCTTTCTCTTCATGCCATCAAACCACTGACAAAAGAAAAAAGTTTGCTAACCGGCACAGAAAAGCAACAGCCTCAATAGAAACGTGGGCAGTAGGGGACATAAAAACCATGAACTTGGATTGTACTCAAAGAATTTTCATAAAGAATGCATCAAATGTAGAAAATAAATTATTCTTGCTTTCATGAACATACCACTTTCTGCATGAAGATTATGAATAAATGCTGTTTCTCCATGGCCAACTCAAAGTTTTTGAAGTAAGAGACATTAAAATAGATTCAAGAGCATTGAAAAGTTTGAAAAGTTTTACACATCCTCTCCATTATATGATACTGAAGGAAATTGGCGAAAGTGAAGGCAAGTATTAGGCTGTTAGCATCAACTCAAAATCTGAAACTTTCCAGAGAATACAAATTACTTACTTATTTTCAAGTGAAATTAGTTTAAGGAGAAATCTAGCAAAGGAAGAGAAGTGTGGGCCACAGGGAAAGAGGCAATAGCACAAAATTTCACTAAGAAAGCCTTTGTATAGCTTTTGCTCTCAGTACTTTCTTCTCTCTTTATTCTAATTAATATAATGAAATTAAAATAAAAAAATTACCTCGACTATAAAATCTGTAGTAATTGAGATCTCAAGAGGGCAAAAGTAGAAGGCAGACACTTTGGACCAGTTGTGCTCAAGTCATACGGATAAAACAGCTTTTAGTGATTAGATCACAATTTGAAGCACTTCTGCAGAACGTCTTCCAGTTTTATTAAAACCAGAAGAAATCTATTTTACGCACACAAACTACTCTGTGAAGTGAACCAAAGCACTCTAAAGGGGCATGACTGTGAATTACGTTTTCAAAATGCACTTGTGCTTCCTGACCTTACCTGCCTACAGCATCCTGTGCTGCGCTAGAAGCACTACCAGTAGGCTCAGGGAGTTGATCCCTCTCATTTACAAAGGACTAGTGAGACAAGAGTGCTGGGGCCAGTTCTGGGCTTCCCAGGACAAGAGGTAACTGAAGGGCCAAAAAGACGATAAAAGGACTAAGAGCATCTTTCTTACCAGAAAGAGCAGAACTGCGACTGCTAGGTCTTGAGAACGCTCAGGGTATCAGCTATTGCTTTTCTGATTTGAGAAGGGAACTTTAAAAAAAATTAACAGTATTTTAATCATAAATTAGACAGCAAATCTATATTCCCAAAGTTCTGACTCTGTCATATTCCATATACTGTTTTGTCCTTTTTTCCTCCTATAGAATTGTGTTGTTTAGAATTGGTTTACATTGAAAAGAGTATTTCATGGATGTCTGATTAAACCTGAAATTTACAGTCAAATTTAACAGATGGGTATTTCTACTAAGAGCTGAATGACTTTTGATTTAAGACTAGCTTTGGGGAGGAAAAAAAAAATAAAAAATCAACAACAAAAACCCAAATACTTCCTTTGCTTTTCTCTCTCACAGAGTCCCATAAAAAAAACAAACAAACAACCATCAACACAATACCAATATTCTTCAGATGGACTTTTATTGTGCTTTTGTATACGAAGAATTTGAGAACAGTGGGGTTTTCTTCACACCTTTTTGGATAGATCAAGTCTACTGATTTGCATTACTGAATTCTGAAATGTACCATACTGAAGAACAAAAACAACCACAGTCCTGCTTTGCAGAAGCTACTAAAATATGATTTCATGCTGCACTGACATTGGGTTTTAGGACCCAATGTAAATTGCACTGTAGGTTGCATATCACTTAGCACCTATGTTTTTTTTGGCAACTCACTGGTGCTGTCAACGTTTTCTTTAATTAAAACATCAATGAACAACAAGTACGCAAGTATTAAATAAACAGCACAACCAACCATCTTTGAAAAGATTTACTAATCCAACACTACCGAATGCCTGAATAAATGGCTATTAAGAAAATGTTTGCTGTAAGTATATATGCAGATGTTTTCAGAAGACAGAGCTACCTCTCAAACCATGCAGTCCTTCAAAAAAGTAACTTTTCAATAAACTGTAGCACAGTTTAGAGACTGCTTCAGTAATTAGGCAGACAAGGCATTTTTTATCAAAGCCTGCCTCCTTGTGTTTGCACCACAACATCTTCAAAGTAAAGAGTCACACTCACTTCAGTTTTGTTTCTTTGTTGGTTTTTCTTTCTTTTTTTTAAAAAAAACTTATTTTACTTACTACAAATCACATATTCTTTTGGCTGGGCAATCTATGTAGCCTAACTTCCTGGTATCCCCTTATACCTATTCAATCAACTGAAAACATGACCTTGACATGAAACACCTACAGTATGACTTTAATCAATAAAATAATAAGAACTGTGAAAAAAGTGTCAGGTGGAACAGCACAGATATTAACAGAAAGCGTTGATTATAACAGTCCTGAACACTTCATTAACTACAAATTTCTGATCTAAGAGGAGAATCATCTTGTGAGATTATCGTGTACAAATCAACAGCTAATTGATGGTATGTGAATTTGAATGCCCAAAAACGTGGTGAAGCGTGAAGGGTTTGCAAGGAATATGCAGAACCACAAGAAATAAAACCGGATCTTAATTTCAGCAGTATTTCTAGAAAGTAAAACATTAAGTGTGGTAAGCTGCACAACAGCATCCATGTTATTCTGTAGTATTTTATTTTTCATATTGAAAACAATATGGTTGCCCAAAAAACACAAAGCACCCTTACTGCTGCTATCCGTATTGTCTAAAACAGAGGTTAACAACTATCAAATCATATTTTCTTTAAATTAACACAAGCCAGCAATATCAAAATGAATGAATTCTGCTTTCTCCCTACGCTTGTTCTTCAGCTTTACACGAGAACAGCTGTTTAAGCAGCAGTGCAATGGGCCCAGCTGAAATATCTTGTTGCTGTCCACCATACAATTACATAAAGATTTGCCTCAAGTATCTTTAGAGTAGGAATGTGAAGCCAGAGTAATACAATGTCTTCCTTGGGTGGCAGTTCTGGTTTATGCTAACTTAATGCTTCAGATGAACTCAAAAAAAAAAAAGTGAGAGAAAGTTTAAAGTGATATATGCCAAAGAAATGTGCAACTGCCATACAAATTCCAATCTACAAAAATACACCTTTGGCATCAATAGATGCTGAAGATATACAGAATATTAACATGAGCACTAAGTAGTTCCTTCTGACATTTTATTGCTGTGGTACAGACAGTAATATTTCAGGTTGGAAATACATCTTACCAGAATTCAGTTCCTTCTAGTTTTAAATCAGCTTCTGTAACAGCTCTTACTTTCAGAAATATACAAGTAGAATTAAAAAACACATACCCAATACATATTCACACTCAAAACAACAGTGCCATGAAGATGTTATCATTAGGAGGAAAACTTTTGGCTGTGGATGACCCACTGCTGGCAATAGTCCAAAACTAAAAACACCTTAACTCACATCTCCAGTCTGACAGTTGCATTCAACATATTACTGAGTTATAGATGTTCCCCCTCATGCAGCAGCTGTGCAAGCAGCCCTCTGGCAGAACTGCAGCACTGTCCCATCACATGAGCTTGCACCACAGAGTCCTGTCAGCTGCCTGCTGTACCTCACCTCCAGTCTGGCCTTGCCATATACCTGTTTCCAGACACACACAGCAGTGCTGTGCTGGTGCATTCCAGCACACAGGTAGCTTTTCTCACACAATTTGTTACTGAAAATATATACACCCCCTCTGAAGTGTAATTCAAAAGCTCAAAACAAAGATGTTCTGAACCATTTTTCAAGTCAGAAATATTTCTTTCTTTTAGCTCTATGTAAAATAAATATATTGAAAAAAGAAAACCACATAAAGACTTCTGCTGACTGCAGTTTGAACCTATTTATGACCTGTTAGCTTTAGGGATCTTTCAGGCGTTGTCATCAACTGTGACACAGATGTTGAAGGTGACTTAGAATAGTCTGACATTTCCTGGTAAGAGGTGTAAATCCTTGAGAAAGGAAGGCTCACAGCTCACACCCTGACAATCAGTGGATTAGACGGGTTAGTCTGAAAGACTTACATAGGAGAGAATGATTTTTGCTCTTCTCATTGCAATGAAATTAAATAAAACCAAGCCACTTCTCCCTGCTTCAAGAACCCCAAAGAAGTATCAGTACTAGCCTGACAGAAAATAAACATCATTAAGGTTGAAGACTCTCGATTCCAAGTTGCTTACTCAGCAACAGATCATGCAGGAGGCCTTTTCAGCAGGACAAAATCTCTGAAAAGACCCCCGGGTTAGTTTTGCAAGATATCTGCTAGAACTGTCTTAAGGCAGAATGCATTTGCTCTACATACGTGGGCACAAACACCTATCAGGCTTCAGACCTATCTGCTACGATGCTTATCCCTCAGAAACAGAAGAACAGCGCATTGAGGCTTGCTACCGGGAAGAGCACGGCACCGCCCCCAAAAGGAGGGCCCGACCCGAACCCAGCGAGCCCCACCGGCGGCGGAAGGGGAGCGCTGCTCCGGGACCAACTGCCGCTGCCCGGGGGGAGCGGCGGGGTGGGGCGGGACGCGACCAGCTGGGCCTGGGGCAGGCGGGACGGCGCAGCGCTGCGACCGCAGCACTCACAGTAATACGCCACCACCGGCTCGCGCTTGTCCAGCTCCTGCGCGGTCCGCAGATGGTGCTGGATGCTCTTGAACTGCGGCGGCAGCGGGGGAAGCGCCGTGGCTGCCATCGCGCGGCGACCACAACAACAACGGGCAGCGCCTGCTCTCGCTCCCGAGCTTGGAGCCGGTCGCTTCCGCTTCCGGCGCGGGGAGTCGGGACGCGTGCGCGGGGCTGCTGATGGCGCTGCTCCCGGAAAGAGCGCCCCCTGCTGGGCGGGAGGCGTGATGCGTCGCCTTCTAGCTCACGGCGGCCCAGCCCATGTCGGGATCCTGGTGGCCCTAGTAAGCGTGCCCGGAGGACGAGAACATGAACAAACGTCAAGGAGCGCTTGTAGGAGTGTAGTGTAGAAGCTGGCTGGCGCAAAGCAGCTGTACATTTGACGCAAAGGCAGTCACGCCATTTTCTGGGTGTACTGAATGTGTTTCACTGAAGATGATGGAAGAAGCAATTATGGCTACTTGTTAAGTGAGAATTGAAGTGGGTGTGATGTCTGGCTAGAGACTAAGCTGACTGCCAACTCATGCGCCAGGGATTGCGCTGAGTGCTGCTGGAGGAAATGAGGCAGGAAAACAATGAAAAAGTGAAAGAAGCACTTACAGTTTTTGTGTAAGCCACAGAAATACTTCTTAGGGTGTTCTGGGAGACAGACTTCATTCTGTAAAGAAACAGAATCATATCAAAGAAACCCCAGGTTTATTATGTAATTCCTTCCATAATAGGGAAAAAAAGGATTCGGGATCATCTCAAGTAATTGCTAAATACTTGAGTTAAAATCAGCACCATGCTGAAACACAGGCATGCTATGAGTCTCGGTGGGAGTGAGGGTGGAGGGAAGCTGATTGAAAGCAATATAAATGATGACAAAACTGGTGCAAATTTGGCAGAAAGAGAAGTTGAGAGACATTTGAGAATGCAGTGAGTGCCAGAAAACAAATGGCAAATACAGGAAAGAGGAGCATTGGCAACCATGGGGAAATGGTTTCTTTATGTGGAGATAAAATCACCATCCATGTGTTCCAGAAACTGATGATGGAATTGGCCACAGAAAAACATTTGCACTAAAAAGCAATAATGCACACTTTGTTTGCCAGTGAAAAAAAAAATGGAACTGAGGAATTCGAGAATTTTCATTTCGTAGGAAATCTGATCTGAGTTGGAACAACTTTCAAAATGTTCTTGACTGTGACCATCAAAATAAACATACAGCGATGGGTAGTCCAGCTTCTATACACCCCCAAAAGGGTCCCCAGGCATTCCCATGACAGACCTGGCTGTGCAATACTCCTGGATGTAATAGGAAAGTCCTTGATGAGTTGGGGGCTCTGGCACTCTTCTGGCCTTTCTGAAGTGTTTTGAAATCTGCTGCAGAAGCATAACAAGGAATGGAAATATACTGACAAGATTGTGATGAAGTTATTTTAATTTTGTATGAATGTCTGATTGAACATGATTTTAGTACCATTTGTCACCACATAGAAATAAATTCTTTTTAGTAGCAATAAATATAGTGTTCTGTTTATAAGTAAAAAGATCTCTTTACCTGAGATTACAAGTTTAAGTTGCAAAGAATAACTCCAGATGAATACTGATGTATACAAGAAAAAAAATTAAGCCTGTATTAATTAAAGCACATCATATTATGCAAACAGAAGTTAGCACAGGGATTCTTATTCCACTTGAAATGCTTGCAAATACCAAATAATTTATTTGATATTTATTTGTTAATATTTATTTTTATTATTGCACAAATTTGATGGTGTTGGCTGGATATATATTTTAGGCATCATATAACTTATTTCCACAGGGAAAAAGTAACACAACATTAATGTTTTAATACAGTGAATATACTGAAATTTGTCTTCATCATGGTCACCAAATTAAAAAGAAACCACACGTCTGTTTGGGGCCCACTTTGATGTCAGTGGTGCTACAGACATTTAAATTATACTTCCAATCACATAACAGGGACTACTTTTGTGGGTGGGCATTAGAAGACTCTCACATCCCAGCATTTTTTGGAACTGCTTAACAGCTGGTGCTAAAAAGTTTTATTGCAGTTTTTCCTGAATTTTCTAAGTATTCCTGGAAGGACTCAAACACTGTCACCTGCATCTCAACTTCTTACGCTTTTACAGTGACTGTTGCTGAAAATATGTATTTTTTTGTTTGTCTGTTTTACAGAAGTTAAATTTCATTCAAGAAGCAAAGCTATTCTTCTCCCCTTAAGCGTTACAGGAATCAGGCTGTGTTTAAAGACACTAATAGATTTCATTTAACATTTCTGGTTCCTGAATTGTTGTTAGCTAGTGATGAATCTCACACCTGGAGGAGGAATGCCCCTTGGAGAGGAACAACCCCAGGCACCAGAACATGCTAGGTGCCACCCAGCTGGAAAGCAGCTTTGTAGAAAAAGATCTAGAAGTCCGGGTGGACACCAGGTTGAATGAGTCAGCAATGAGCCCTGGCCACTAAGAAGGCTGCATTCTTGACTGCATTACACAAAGTTTTGCCAGCAGGTCACTAGAGGTGATCTTCCTCCTGTACTCAGTAGTGGTGAGGCCATATCAGTAACCCAGTTTTGGGATCCTGAGCACAAAAGAAACCTCAATATAGTGGAAACAGTCCTCTGTAGAGCCACCAAGATGATCAAGGGACTGGAGCACCTCTCCTGTCAGAAGCTGAGAGAGCTGAGTCTGTTCAGCCTGGAGAAGAGGAGGCTCTCTGGGATCTGGGATCAGTGTACATAGATACCTGAAGGAAAGATGAAAAGATGGTGAAGACGTGTTCTTTTCAGTGGTGTCCAGTGACAGGACAAGAGGCAATGAGCTTAAACTGGAACACTAAAGGTTCTATCTAAGTACCAGGAAGCACTCCTGTACTGTGCAAATGGTGGAATATTGACACAGGTTGCCCGGATAGATTTTGGAATCTCCTCTTCGGTGATCTTCAAAATCTGCCTGGACATGGTCCTGGGCACCCTGCTCTGGGTAGCCATGCTTGAGCAGGGTTTGGACCATAGAGACTCAGAATTCTCTTTTGATATCAATCATCCTGTGATTCTGCATCTAAGTCTCGTGGATTATTGAGATCCTGAAAAAATATTTCTCAATTCAGACAGGAAAAATGATGAACAAGGAAGAGGAGGAAACCTTTTCTTTTTAATTTTTGTTTTCTTCTCCCCCTAAGAAATATAAGGTATTTGAAAAGCAAATGAAAAACAGCTGATCATTAATACTGTAATATGTCTATATTGTACACAAGAAACTAACTCGTCCTTTCTTTCCATTTCTGAAATCTGTTTTTGTTTTTTTTTTCCATGACCTCACTTCAACACAAGGACTAAAATTACTTCTAAGTTTTAAATATATATTAGTCCTTATGAAAGAAAATACAGCATGAGAAAGTATCTTGTTCCAACCTAGAAAAGTGCTTCGTGGAATAATTTTAGTATGCGGACTTCATTTTAATTGCTACTCTATCAGCTTTAGACAGAGCAATTGCTACTCAGATAGGGTAATATCGATGAATGTGCTGTCACCACAATGGATTGCAGCAGTGGCACTCGGCACAAATGCTTGTACACTTTCTGACATTCAGAGAAGGAATTTGGAATAGCTTTCCCCGGAAGGCCAATAATCTTAAGAACCAGTGACAAGCACATCCAGTTGCATCTGTTGAGAAAAGTAATGTGTTCTACCAGGTTGTCAATAAAAGTACATAAATAATCACCTTATCACAAAGACATTCCTCTAGAATACAAAGCAGCAGGCCATTAAGACATGTTATTGTCTGAACCTTTGATCTATACCAAGAAACAAAGATTATTCATATAATGAAGGGCTTTTTAGATGAGGAGTAATTGTCACATAACTACTCTACAGTAGTAATTGCAAACATGGTTCTCTTCTGCAATGCTGCATGGACGACAGCAGATGCATGCTCCAGGCACCGGTACAATCACCAGCTGGAATGCCTAGAATACCTAATGTAGGAGAGACATATGGTTGTCAGGTCATTTACAGCTGCGCTGCATCAGCTAAAATGGGCATATATTGGAGTATTTTGAAAGCCTGTTTCTAACATATATCAAATGCATAAATGCTTGGGTGGCATAGTGAAGGTGGAAAACACTGGTATGTTTTAATTTGAAAAACTCAGTTGTTTTCTGAAAGGTGAGGATTGTTGTTACGAAGGACTGAAAGCACAACTCCACATTCAGTCACAAATGAAAGATCATTAAAAGGCAAATATTCATGAAGAAGCTAAGTGATAAGTAGCCCAATCAGCTACTACTTCTTATATTGAACAATTATGTTTAATGTTTGCAGTTTATTGTCTTAATAAACAAGAGAATTGCCTGAGGAGTTACAGGCTTGAACTGGTTGTAACTGAGAAAATTAACCTCACTCTGATCTGATTCACATCTGAAATGAAAGACCTCATTTCCATAAACAACAAAGACCAAAACACTGAAGAAAAACATGAGGACTGATCCAAAGAAAAGAGGAACTGGCCAATTACTGCTGGAGGCCTGAGCTGCATATTGCAGGTCTACTCAACACATGAAAACAAAACTGAGCAAAATTACTGTTGGAGGCCCAGCTATTACTTGCTCTTCATCATCATCCAAAATATTTATTTTATCCTCTCTGTTTGAAAGGGAAAGAGTTTGCCAATGAAGGCAGCAGTGGCTGTCTACAAAACGGTGTCTTAGAACATTTTACTATTGCTACACATTTTATATAACCAGTAACATATCTAATCCTTTATCAGTTAATCTGTCAGTTTCATTGCCTCTATTGGTACACTGCTGTTGCAGGAAGTACTAGACAAAACTGAATGCTTCAGAAGAAAGTCTATTCATTTTGCTACTGTATCCATTTACACCATGGCAAAATAGCAACCACCATGCCACCATGAACCTGAAGACACTTGTTCTTGAAAATTAAATGTCCGCTTCTCAATAGGGATCTTTCTAGAACTCAGGCGTGTCTCTTTGGGTGAAACATCTGACCTGGGAAGCTCTATTGCCTGGGAGGGAGGGCAGGTACCCAACAAGGATCAAGGACTGTGGGAGCTCTGTGTCCCAGCTTGCTTGGCCTTTTGTCCCTGTGCAGATC